ACTGCAGGCTTCTGACACAGTGAGGGGGTAGATACATGGCAAGTTCATAGGGTACAAACAATTACAGAGGATAACGCCATTATACTGTCTTGTGGCAGATATTTTCTTTTGTGGCTGTGCAGAATGATGGCCAACATTGTTCTCTATGCTTCCTGCTGGTAGCTGGGGGAAGGACAGAGGAGCCTTTTAGTTCGTATTTTATTACAAGAAACCAAACTGATAGCAGAATGCTGATGGAGCTCTTCCTCCACTCCTTGGGAGGCAAAGTCCTTTGAGTCTGGCAGCTCGTACTTCTCTGATCCTTCTAGTCTCCCTTTGCTTGTTGAGCCAGATACTCTGTGCCTAGCAATGCTTCTGCTGTCTATGGGCAGAGGCTGCAGGAATGGTCCTCCCACTCCTTTCTCCTCCCCATAGCACTGACCATGCTACTTCTGTAGGGGTGAAAAACGCAACTTGAGTCCTGCTTCAACCTTACAGATATTAAAAGCTCTAGCCTTCAGCCACGAGTAACATCCTCTCCTGAGCTGTTTGCGTTAATTTGTGCATGGTCACTGCAGGACCTCAGATTTAATTTAGTAACAGCTATATTTGGCTTTTCTTTTGTCAAAAGCTTGGGTATACATGAAAGAGCAGGAGAGAGAATAGGGAGGAATGGAACTGGCTGTCACTCGGTGTTTTCTTTTAGATATTTTCCCCAAGGCTTGGGTTTCTTCAGAACACATACAAATACACTGAGGAGCACACTGTAAAACATTGAAGTCACTCCTTGAGGTGAGAACAAGTCCTTATGCCAGGTCCAGCTCTCCATGACGACAGTCATGACCAGCACCCAAAAGCCACTGCCACGCATCAATCTCTGCATTGAGGTTTTTCTGAAATATTTCTGTGGTTCAGAGAACCACCTGAAAACATCTCAATCCACAAGAAAATGGATTAAAGATTCACATTTCACTGCATGGCTTATGGCTAAGAAAAGCTAACAGCTTCATCCACCCACCAGCAAGGCCAGAGTTCTGGAGCTGCTGGCAGTCTCCAGAAGAGCATAGACCTTCTGCAACATCCCAAGCAGCTCCTGCTGTTTTTTTTTTTCAGGGCTGAGTAGTAGCTTTGCTGTGGCTGTTACCATCAGCAAAATGCTGCAGAGCTTTAAAACGTGATACCACCATTGTGCTGAGTGAAAACTGAAACATCGTTTTGCATGTGGAAAAAACAGGTCTGAGTGTGCTCAGGACAGCAAAGAGGCATCTCAATCTTGTTGGGACAATACAGCCTGTGCAAACAACTGTGAATGCCTACAGGCACATGTGAGGAATGCATAGCATGAGTAGCATTGAGGAAGGGAAGGCAGGACACATCACTCATGGTAGAACTAACTGATATAGACCAGACATTGTAGGTGTAGCAGGTCTGCAGTATTTGACTTTTCTGTGAGACTCAAGTTTTTGTCTGTCATGTGCACAGCATAAGACTTACGATCCCCTTAGCTGCTGCTTCTTTTTGTACATAAGGCAGGCACTTAAAAAGACTTTTAGGATATGAGTTAAAATTCTTTCCTACTTTTTTAACGGAAGTTTGTTTCAAAATAATCTGCAGGGGTTTTTTTTTGTTTTTTAGCCTTTTATATGAGAGGACTGGAAGCTGGCTGATGACCTGATTATGTACTTGAGGGAATGCAGTCTTTCTAGAGGAATCCCTACAGCAACCTGCCTCATCCTGTGAAAGTAGCCATAGTGTCTCCATAGCCAGGTTAGCCAAGTATAATGCAGCTAACCTTCTCCATACACACTGCTACAGAAGCACTGTACATGAATGTCTGGTCTTCAGGACCTGAACCCATAGCTCCTAGTTTCCCAGCCAGCCACATCTTGCTAACGTGCAATGCACTGCATGCACTGCCAGCCTTCTGAAGCTGGAAACCACATAGCTACCAACCAGCATGGTTTCATTTTGAAAGTATTGAAAACAAAGGCAAGAGCTTAGAAAATTTGCATATTTGTAAACTGGGTGCTTGACCTAATTAAGCACAGATCAAAAGTAATGTGTGACAAACACAGGGGCCTTTGCTAGGGAATGCCAGAGCCCTGACACCACGTTTCTGGTCAGGTTCTGCTGCAGGCATTCTTTGGTAATTGCTTGAAACTAGATCTCTGGGGCATATGGGGGAAGATTAATTCCTTGCACCTTTAGGAAGAAGCTTGTAGGCCTAAGATATAAATACTCTGTCATCTTGCTCTTACCTTCACTGCCAAAACCAAGTATAATATTTGAAGAATGCCAGCTTTCTAAATACTCCACTATCCTCAGCTCTCAAAAGAGCAACTGTGTCATTTTTTGTGATGTAGCATTACTGTTTCAGACAGCTAGCATGACACAAGACTAGATAAATTTGATGCTGTGTTGTTACAAAAACTAGCTGCTTTAAAGTCTGTTAATCTTAAAGTAGTTTTTCAGTGTTATCTGAATAAAAAATATTCCAGTGTTAGATTTGACTTTGAAAATCTGATAGCATGATAAATTCATTGCTGTTGCACACTAAGGCTGTTGTTGCACCAGCTATTTTGAAGAAGGCTCCCTCCTTCTCTCTCCTCCCACAGGAATTCATAACTTCACTCGATGAAACAAGTATCTCCAATAGCCATGAGCGTTAGGAAGATCCTTGGGTTCCTTTCTAAATTGCAATAGGACAAAATGCATTACCTTCACAGTGCATGATTGTTTTAACACAGAAGTCAATGGAACCTTTCCTATTCTTAACAAAAACAAGTTTCAGCCATTTTAATTTCTACTGACCGGAGTGGCAGCAGAACTGGCCTGATGGGATTTCCTCCATACGTGTCTTTACACTTTGCCAGTGGAAGTGATCAACTGCAAAGTGATTTAGCTGTAATGAAAGCATGAAGGACAGTATCAGGCTGTTTTTGAGCTACAGGGAGAGAAGTTTTCTGCAGACAAATCCAAGGGGGAAAAAGACCTATTCCTCAAAAATAATAAAGAGTTTCTGAATACTTTTTCAATCTTTTAAGAAGTCTCCTCTTCATTCTCAGATTAAATACAGCATTTTTCAAGCCAAAAAAATGTTCCAAGCAAATGTGATAAATGCAAGGGCATTTTAATAGACTTCAACCTTAATCACAGAGAGAAAAAATACCTCTTCATAAGAAAGCAGCTTGTGAGTGAGTAGAGTTAACACAACTACATTAATTCTATGTGTGTCTTCAGTTATGGCTTGAAAGTATCAGTCCTCAGTAGCAATATAAGACAAGATCTGAAAACTGTTCAGTGTGTTCACTGGCCTAGTGTAACTGATTTCCCCCCAAGTTTTGTAAAACTGAGAATATGAAATCATGTATTTCAATAAGGTATGATTTCACTGAATGAGAATGAAGGAATAACCTCTTTAGGAAGACCTCTTACAGGTTAATTTCCTTGGCTGGGTCTTCTCTGATGGCATCCTTTTCTTCCAAGGTTGTATGCTTTAAATTTGCCTCTTTTGAAGAAGAAGATGGGATTAAGATAGCCTGGGTAGTACATGGGAAGACAATGGCTTTGGTTAATCCTTACTCTTGCACATCAGATTCTAGATGAATGGTTCCAGCTTCACCTGTTCCTAAAACTTCAGTTATGGCTTTAAAAATTGGCCTGGTCCTATGGAAGAAAGACCACCATGTATTAAAGCATTAGTTAAAATTAAAAAGATGAACATGTAATAGTGCACAATAAATGCAGGCTGCTGTTGGAGGGAGTGGATTTTTCTGCTACTTTCAGACCCCGATGCCCATAGTTGCTGATTAGAGGAGATGGAGGTCCTTCTGGAAGAGGCTGGTTGCTGATGGACAGCTTCAGTGCCTGAGGGTGCTGGATGCCCTGAAGTAGGAGAGAAACTTGTAGCAGAGGCTCACCACAAAGTACCAGATGTTTCGAGCCATCTGTGACCTTGCAATGAAAATGCGCCAGATGATCACAAGGAGGGTGGTGTTGAATGCATATCGGATATTCCTCAGCCTGAGAAAGAGAAAGAGGCATCTTATGGAGGAAGACAAAATCAACAAAAAGCTTACCAGCTTGCTTCATTTGCTACAGGTAATTTTATGAGAAAACCTGTTTACAAATGGCCCTTGGGCTTTTTGCCATTCCTATTTTAGTGAAGACACTGTGGCTAAGATGCCCCTGTCTTGCCAAAGACTGTGCTGAGATTAGGGTATAGTGAATAGTTAATGGGATGGTGGAATACCTGTATTGCAAGTCCCTCCTGTTCTGTGTACTCTCATTTCAAACCAGAACAGAAGTCATACTGAGAGTTTTTCCTTTATGAGTCTAGGTCCAATACTTTCTGCTTTGACTTGGTGTATTAGTTATTTTTTGCTTTGCAGGATTGGTGGCAGGCTAGAGACCTTTGCAGTTGCTGATGAATAAGACTTTCCTATTCAGGTGAAATCTTGCTTTTAATTTTGGGAAATTACTCAATAATCATAAATGGTCTTCACTTCTGCAGTACTGCAGACTTGGGGGCAGGGGGACGACGACGACAGTTTACACTGTATATTTAAACATCATTATTGGGTCTTTAAGGTGCTAATCATCTTGTCCTCTTTCTGTGAAGCAAAAGTTTCTGCAGTTCTCTAATTCTCACTTTCCCAATATCTGACCAAGGGAAGAAAGTGTTGTACCTAATGTCCCCAAGACAGGTTTAAATTTTGAAAAATATACCACACTGCCTATTCAGACTATGAGGCAGTTACTGGCCTGTTACAGAGGTTCTTATAAATCCTTTAAAAATGACTCAAGAATGAAGAACTTGTTTAGGATTTCTTGCTATGGCAACAGGCTGTTTTATGCTTCTAGTGTTTACAGTGCACAAGAATGGTTTTCTTAAAGGAAGCAACCAGGCTTTTACTCCAAGAGAGTTGCTCCTTCTCCTTTTGCCTGCACTTCCCAGTAAAAGGGCTGGAGCAGGTAGGATGAGCAGAATCTTTAACCGAATAGAAGGACAATTTCAAATTGCTCATTCAGACTCTCTTAAACTGTCACCGGGGCTTGAATGCATAAGCTATCCACTGATTTTGGAGAATTTTTACCCATTCGCCCCAAGGAACTAGCAACTTCAACTTTAAAATGAAATTTAAAATCATACAAATACTTTAAGTTTTTATGCAGTGCCTTTGAATTGCTAAAAACTTCTAGGAGCTTTACAAAATCTAAATCTGACTCTTATTTTTCTATTGCAATTATGAATGACCAAGATGTTCTGCATTCATGTGTTCCCCTTATGAACTTTAACTTTGTTACTTGGTCATCTGCTGGGAAGGCATTGTATCTAGTCCCTGATCGTTAGTGTCTCAAGAGTCCTCTTTTTCTTACAGGATGGAAAAATTAAATACTGACAACCTTCTGCCCTAAGAAATAAGCTATGCTATGTTTATTTCCATATTATTTAAAAACAATTACTGCAATGTAAATAGAATAACTTTCCTCAAAAGCCATTCAAGGTATCCAGGTGCTCTTGTCCTTGTCACTAGGTATGACTTACTTTCGTAAGTGCTGCTTTGCTGCTGGAATGCCAGCCATGTCTTCATTTAGCAAGTACTTCTTAGCACCTAGGCAGTAGCTTTCAATGTATTCTGACCAGTGCAGCTGACGAACGTCAAAATTGTACAACTGGGATTTAAAGACAAAGAGCAGAAGTTAAACACCAGAGTTCAAAACAAGTTCACTTTAAGCATCATTGACCTCTGTTACTGACAAGGCCCTCTCTCTGAAGCTCTTAAAGCCACCAAGTTTCCAAGAAGACATGGGCACTAACAGAATATATTTCACAGCTGTCAATTAATGTCTCACCCAGCTGGGAATCTGGGCAAAGATAACAGAAATTTAGTGCTAGCTGGCAGAAAATAAAGGTAAGTTTGTCTTTCAGGTGGCAATTTTTGCATAAATACACGTATTTGTACATACACATACAAACACACACAAAACTGTGGAAGGAAAATGGCATTCCACTCAGGTAAATGGATTTATATGAAAAAGTCTGTGCAGTTTTTAACATGTCACTAGAATTATGTGTAAATAAATGAACCGGACATTGAGTCAACAGGTGCCTCAGCATCAGTATTAATTACTCTGCTGTGCTGCATTCTCTCTGAGCAGCTAGATCGACAGAAGTCCAAGAAATGGGTGTTTATTTGGTATTTGACATAAAAAAAAAAAATCTCATTGCAGAGCTAACTACCCCAGTTAATTTCAGATGCTTATACTAGAAAAATTGTTAGCAAGCTCTCAGGCGGTCATCTGTCTATGAGAGCAAAGAAAGGATTTGTAAAGAGGAAGAGGTTTTGTTGTAAAGAATTTTAGGGTTTTTTTAAATGAATGAGTGAAGTGAATGGCATTTCTTAGTTACAGGGTCTTAAAAGGAAAGATACTCAGAAAAATACCTTTCTTTCTCCCCCATGCCAATCCAGGCCATTTGCTTTGGTGCAAGAGCTTGGTATCTGCTTGAGCAGATAGGGGTTAGCTAATGCTCTCTCAAATACAGGGGGTTAGCTACTGGGCAGATCCCAGTGTGTCTGTTAGATACGTATAGAGATGTGTGCTGCCCATAAAGTATCTATCTTCACTGCTGCTCACAATGCAGCAGTGGCAACACTGCATGCGATGCCTCTCACAAAGTTCTTGTAAGCAGCTTGGTAAGCCTGAAAATCTGTCTAGCTTGCACTAAGTCCTTGATGCTGTAATTTTTTTGTCTCTCTCTCCCAGAACTAGCTCCTATTATACCATTTAGGTTCCCTCTACATCTGCTGTAGTCACAGCAGTGCCACTGCCCTTAGAAGTTAGAATTTGCTGCATGCACTCCTTCTGCAAGACTAGGGAAGAAAATTCTTGATTCTACTACAGGGAGCCTGCAAGAATTTCATGATGTGAGTGAGATCAGTTTGATGTGAATGCCTAAGTATCTCTGCAAGGTCAGCCTGACCAAAAGCGCATTCCAGCTTATCACAGATCTACTCTTTGTATTCCTTCAGTTGTTCAGTTACAATCCCATTTTTAAGGAGTAGCACTTCAAACCTACATAGACTACAACAGAGCTTGACATCCTGCAAATTAATTACTCTTTGGGGACTTCAATAAAACAAGAACATTTTTCATATTGTCAGGGTAAGACACTAGATGTTAACTAAGTTTCCCCGTGCGGTGCCCATTAAAACCAATGTGGATGAAAACGTCAAAATCTTTCAAGTGATTTCCCTCTAGATCACCCACCACAGCTGCCATGTTAACTGGAAAGACTTCAGTGATTGACCTGTCTCAGATGAAAGAGCAACACGTCAGGAGAAAATATTCTCCTGTAATAAATGGAAGGTTCCTGATAAGTTATTTAATAAAACAAGGAGGAAATAAATTATTTCAGGTTAAAGGCAATTCCAGACATCTGGATGTCATTTGAAAGCTCAACAATACACCAAAAGTAATTACTGCAGCTGAACAGAACTGGAGATTAGCAATCCATATTCAGGACACACTTACCTTTTTGTCCTCTGTGTTAAGGTGACTCATTAACATATTCATATTATCTGAAGACCAATCCCAGGACTGGGTGGAGAAATACTGCAGAAGCATCATAGACTTGTGCAGTCGATTGATAATCTTCATCATTCTGAAACAGAGGAGGAGTGTCAGAGGTGGATAGGAAGTTGGACCTTCTGCAAAAGCTGTCAGTTTGCTCTGCAGGTGTTTTCACCAATCCAGATGAAAAGGCACTGGAATTCCTGATGTGCACTGCATTAGTGCTCACCAGGCTGAGAACTTGCTCACAAGTCTAACTGCTCCACCTGAGGTTTTGAGCCTACAGCTACCCAGCTGTTTTTGTTGGCTCAAACATGGGTGCAAACATGGATTTCCTAGGGCAGGGCTGATGCCTAACTCACTGGCCTGAACTAAACAAGGGTTGGAGACCATATCTACATCATGTACCATGTGTGAGGTGAAGTGCCCATCTGAACTAGTATGAAGTCTGCACAGCAGATTGCAAAACCATTCCTTGCCTCCTGATGTGGATATTTCTCTTTCTACCACACAAATTCTCTTCTGTTCTGAAGCCTGAGTTGGCTTTTTGGAGTTAGCTCCAGTACAGAGGTGATGGCAGCTGCAGCATGGACAAGCTCTGAAGTCAATTGCTCAAATTCAGTTTTCAGATAGAATCATAGAGTCACAGAATGGTTTGGGTTGGAAGGGACCTTAAAGATCATCTAGTTCCAACCCCCCCT